GAAGAAAAAGAGGGAGAAAGGGAGAGAGGGAGAGGGAGGGAGAGGAGTGGTGGAGGGAGAGAGAGAGAGGAGAGAAAAGGAGTAGGGGGAGAGGGAGAAGAAGGGGGGGAGAGAAGGAAGAAAAGAAGGGAAAGGGAGGGAGAGGGAGTAGGGGGAGGGAGAGGAAAAGGGGGAGAGGAAGAGGGGAGGGGGAGAGAGAGAGAGAGAGAAGAGAGAGGAGAGAGGAGAGAAAGGGAGTAGGAGGAGAGGGAGAAGAAGAGAGAGGGGGTAGAGAAAGAAGAGAGAGAGAAAGGGAGTTAAAAGGAGAGGGAGAGAGAGTGAGTGAGTGGAGGGGGAGGGAGAGGGAGAAAGACTTAATGAGCCTGTGAAGTCCAAATAGGGCAGAAGAGGCTGCAGCCCCACATGTGGCAAGGCTCTAGAAGATGAGATTGTCTGTGACTTAGCACTATTAGTGGAGATTGGCAAATCTGTGAACCACCCAGATCATACTGGGTCAATTTCTTTTATGTACCTGTAGCCTTATTATCCCTGAATTTACTCTCTTCCCTTACAAATAAACCCTTTAGAAAGCACATCTGGTTTCAAGAGGATGGGAGGCATAGGGCAAGATAAAGAGAGGAAGCCACCAATGGGAGGGGTCCGCGAGGCAGCAGGCTGGAGCTCTGGGGCTAGCATTAGGTAAAATCTCTCTCAGCCTTAGAATGACCAGAGGTAGAGGGAGCAGGTGCTTGAGACCTTTAAGTCATGGATTAAGATATTTAGGGATTTTTGAAAGGAACCCAGGACCCAGGAAAAGAATGTATCTCATTTTTCATCTGTACCTGAGAGTCAAGGCAAAGCCACCTTTTAAAGGAGCTATGCCTCATTGTTCCAGAGATTATATTTTATGGCATCACATTTAAACAAAGCACAACCAGCTTTTTAACCAGAGACATAGGGTAGTTTCATCCTCTGAGCCACCTTCCTCCACTCCTCCAAGGGCAGATTCTGGACCACAGACGGCAAGTTTCTTAACTCAGGTGGGGGAGCCCCCTCACCTTCTTGATAAGTGGGATCACCCTAGAGAATCAGGAGAAACCTAACTCAGCCTCCTGGAGCCGAAGAGAAAATGTGGGTTGGGGCAGGTGGCCCAGCTCTGTATTCTATGGGAACTGGGAGAGTGGTAGATGAGGCAGGCCTCACTGAAGTCTGGGCAATGGGAACAAAGTCAGCAGCTTCTTTGTCCTTCCCTCCCCACCACACACAAGCATATACCCAAACATCCACACAACACACTTCTACTATGAAACATACACCCAGGTTATACACAAAACACCCCAGCATATCCTAATATCTTTACTCATGATGCCTCCGCAGGTTACTAATGCAAGTACTCCACTTTACAGAGAAGGAAACTGAGGCTCAGAGAAGAAGCAATTTGAATATCAACACATCAGTTAGTAAGAATTCAAAATGCAATTCAAACCTGAATATTTAGACTCTTCACACTCTACTCTCACATTCAGGTAAACACACTCACAACACACCCCTCACAGGTGCACCTGGATACCACACCCACACTAGCATACAGGCATGTACACAGAGCATCAGATACAGAAACAACACTAAGGAAAATGCATGTCTACACATGATTATAATATATAAGCACACAAGGCCAGATATAGCAACAAAGATCAGGGCCATGTTTAGATACACACTCACAACATGGTGGTGCACCCATGACCACACACATACCACTGCACAAACAAACACACACAAAAGCTCCATGGGACCCTGAAATCAATCCAACTCGAGCATCCATCCACTGTTCACTAACATGCCGCCAGGACTCAAAGATTGGAGACCAAGCAGGTGATCTGGCCAGGTCCATCCACGGCGCTCCACCACCTTCCTGAGGGGGCAGGATCAATAAACCCTAGGATCCCTCCCAGACAAGAGGAAGCGAGGCTCACCTCTCCACCCAGCTCTTGTAGTTGGGGATGTCCTTGGCATACAGCAGCTTGTTAGAGGGAGAGTCCTTGCCCAGCTTGTGCTCAGAGGTGGAACAGGAGTCCATGAATGTCTGGGCCACCACAGACAGGCAGGCGTCCGTGATGCTGTTCTTGTGGATGTCGAACACGAACTGTGGGTTCTTGATCACATTCACCCAAAAGCGCAGAGGTAGGCTGACGTGGGGCAGGAACCGAGGCAGCAGGGGCAGGGGAAGAAGAAAGGGAGACGTGTCAGTGGGTACCCAAGAAAGGAGGCCACAAACGTGGCTTCTCCATTGGAACCTAGCACTAAAATGAAATAAATATGCAGAGCCTTAGAGCCGAAAGGGATAATAGAACATGGAGAGTTAGAGCTAAAATGGACAACTGAACACAGAATGGTAGAACACAAAATGTTAGGGCT